CGAACGCCTCCTTCAAAGTGATCTACAAAGTGAAGAACAACCTCCCAAAGACAGTACGATTTCGTCTTCTTTGCATCGCAGAAGCCCTAGCCATCCAGCTGGTGGAACCAGAACTATGCATACAAAAGAAAATTATCCAACCACTTCTACTCGCATGGTAACAACTCCGTTGATTCGAGTTTGTTTGTTTTGACCTTACTTCTGTTTGTATGCTTATTTTTCTAACTTAAAACCCTTGTGTAATTCTGTATATTATCTTGTTTCCATGCTCACCCTTTGAGTACAACTCATTCATCAAAGTATTCATGGCATTACGTAAATCTTATGTAACAATCATTTATGACAACTCATCACTTTTGTTACTACCCTCTTATATGAGCATCCAATTCACCTGAACTTACTCCTCTTAAACAATCGTTTTTGACAACTCATCACTTTTGTTGCTATCCTCTTATCAACATCCAATTCATTTGAACTTACTAACCATATTTTGTTTGACAAATTTAATGTATACACACACACACAAAATAACCATATATATTTGCGATTGTACAGCTTTGAAAATGAATTCGCCAAAAAGAGACTCTTTGCTGAACTAATTGTCTTTTGTCTACTAATGTCCGAATGGGAATTATTCATGAATTTATTTATTTTGTTTATTTAGTTATTCTATGTACTCTTCCCTTATTACTATTATTATTATTATTAATATTATTATCATCATTATTATTATTACTATTCTCACTCTGAATCTTTTTCACTTGACCCACTTGACATTTTAAACCTAAAATTATTAATTTTTATATTTTTTTATTTATTTACAATATTGAATTCTGTCTTATCAAATTTCATACCATGTTATGTAACATTTTATATTCGTCTACTAATCTTATAATTATGTACCCTTTTCCAAAATCTATACACCTTATGTATTATTCTATATACGACATTAATTATTGTGCCACTTGACATTAAACTATTATTAAAATCACAAATATTTTAATTGCATTTCATACTATTATTATTTCATGTATTCACACCTTTGACCTAATTCCCTCACCGGATATAATTTCTTAAAAACCATATATATACGATTGTACAGCTTGATAATAAATTCGTTGAAAAGAGTCTCTTCGCTGAATACTGTGTTCTTAATGCTACAATGGGAATTATTATATTATTGAAAAAATACATACAACAGTCAAAGGAGTCTGTCTCTCCAGTAGCGAATGCTGAAGACTAGTTCGCATATTCGGATTGGAGAATAGAGAAAGGTGCGATAGACAGAGCAAGAGAGTGTTATGTTATTTCATCACGCACAAAATTCTCCTACCTTGGAATGGTCAGTGGTGATACAGGCCTGAATGGCAGAAATCGATGCTTCCTTCAATCAGTACCGGCAGTCGTCACTCGATCACTACTGTCATTCACTTCATTGCTCATAAGCTGTCAGTTTATGCGCTGACTGTCTGACTGCCAGACTGCTCGACTCACTGGCTCCTGACTTATATTTACCGTGTCCCAATATATTTCCATCAGTATTTGAAGGCTTACGCATATACAATTCAAAGACAATCAGAGACACATTTACGCCGAAAACAGGCACACCATTTCATCATCACCAGGATAACCAAGGGAACAAGTAAACTTCCATCATCACTTCAAAGCATTATCGGCTCTCTCTCTTTCGCTCTTTCGCTCTATATCTCGCTCTCTCTCTCTCTATCTAACTGTCAATCTCTCACAGATAACTACATCAGCAATTTGATGATGATTATGATGATGGAAAACATGCACTGAACAATCACTTGACTATGAAGACATGTAAATATTGACTTATTTGCATATTGCCTGAAATCATCATCCAATTAACACTCTACTCATCCATTCATTAATTCGGCTAATTCATCATCACACTACTTACACAAACAAACACACACACGCACACATATAGATAGACAGACAGACAGACAGAAAAACAGCCAGACAGACACACGCATGAACTCGCTGAAACATACCCTGTGACATGAAAGATTTTCAGGGAAATCATTCTGCCAAAGTGTATTGAGATTTTGACTGACAGAGACGAGAGTCGAGTTTCACAATTGAAAATCCTATCAATGCATTCATGTGTCCATCATCTAGTTGTCGATTCCATAAATCGATTTTGTAGAAGGCGACATCCATACAATTGGGCTGTGATGTAATGGGTAAATCTGTGTCTTATGTTCATCATTCAGAATATTGTTAGCAGAGTCCGCATTTCACTATCTTTCCCTTAATTCGACTACATTTAAGTATATACAACATTCAGGTTAATCTCTGTTCTACTTAAAACATCTGGGAGATTTGATTAACCTTTTGATATTAAATGGCATTTTGAGCACATTCCGATAATTAGGAATTTCATTATTGTGGGAATAAGAGCTCTTAAACCATTTTTTTTCACGTTCCCCAGATGAACATAGGGCTTCAAGCTAGTAGCTTTAAGTTTCTTTAGCAGTGTTTATTTTACGGGATGCGGTTGCTAGCCTCATGCGCAACCATTCCTCTTCACCAGCATTATTTCTGGCTTAGCGGGATAAAGGAGTGCGCCGGCCGGGGATCGAACCCTGGACAATGTGCATGGTTGGCGAGCGTCCTAACCGCTGTGCCACCGTGGCACACTTAAACCATAATGTTGACTTATTTACATTTTATATAAGATGAAGCTTTTAATTCCGTCATTCTCAGACAGTGATATTTCTTCATAACATGGATGCATTCGAATGACGCATAGTGTGACTGAGAATTTCCATTCAATGTATTATATTGTATAGTGTGATAAGCGAAATAACCTACAGACTACCAACCCATGCCCTTTCAATCTCCATTTAGCCATATCATCATGGGTCACCTAAAGTATCGAATTTCATCGAAATGTGCATGGCAAACCACTTGAAAATATGGAGGTGATTGGATCTATTTGTGCATATACGTGCTATATGGTTTTCTCGTTGTCTTTTCATCTAGCCTTCTGAATACACTTCGTCAGTCAAAACAATAATCCTCGAGTTTTACACGAGCAGTTAGCCTATTTTTCGCAATTACCTATTTCATTCTAACATAACTCATTCTAATAGATAGACAGAAAACGCCAACTGAAACAAAATCTTACGAAGGAAAATATAATATTTAATTAATCCAAAAAGCGATAAGCAAACAATGTATTTCCCTCTCCAAAATTGTTTGAATTCCCTTGGAACAGAATTCCCTTTTCTGCAGCTGAAACAAAATGAAACCAGAAGCAGAGAACTACTGAAATGAAAATAGACACGCATCTTGTATAGAAAAAATTATAGTCGACAATTTTCATCCTAACAACAGTTATACTAATCTTCAGGCTATACTTCCAGTGATGATTAAAACACAGGATAGGTGTGTACATTATCAGGTTGATTCCAAGCTACAATTCCCCTCACACGAAATCAGCTATGCAAACCACCATTTGAATTTACAATGTTCTCAGCAGTTGTTACAAACCTGATATTGTCTACAGCCACCGAATGTTATCAGGTGACCGATCAGCCAGTAGATCAATCATGATTAGAGATCAGGAAATATGAGTGAAGAGAAGTTCAGTGTTACTTGTTTCTTAAAGAATCATCCAGCTGATTTCAGCTTACACCTTATGCCAACTTCAAGTTCACATTCTTTTGTGCAGTCAGTTAGAAATTTAAAGTACTGTAAGAATCTAAGGAGGAACTTACTTCAGTAGAACTGCTTGGCATCTTCCTTCATTTCAGCCAGGAGCCAGTTTATTCTGTTTTCTGTGGTTTGAACTAAGCAGTTGTAAATCATCTCAATATTTCAACTTACACTTCAGAAATTCAATCCTCTTCATTTCCATTAGTTTTATTTTGTTCCCTAGTTCATCTAAAACAGTGAACAGATTTTCAGTAATAAGCGCCATTTTCAAATTTCCCCCGCAACAATATGAAATGAAGCTTAAATCTCACAATGCTCGATCATAACATGTAGTCTCAATGTAACTGTTATTCTGAACTTAACAATATACATGATACATTTTTTTGGCTTTATTCAATAATGCATTGATCAAGTCACTGAAGCTTTATCGGAATAGTTTTGCGTGTCTCGATTATTTGAAAATAACACCATATGAGCAGTAGAATCGATGCTTTTGTGCATAGAAATTCCAGACTGAATTCTGACTGAGTGTCCAACAACTTACAGATTCTGATATTAGTGTGACAAGTAATATTGCTAATTTTATCAATGATATAGCCTTATGTGGAATTGGGGAATTCGACAACTTGATAATATACAGATCATTAGTCATACAGGTTACTTCTGTCGCTTACAAAAATGAAATTCACTGAGAAATGCATTCGTCACTATAACTATGAAATATCACATGTGATCGAATTTGAAAAACAATGTAAAATTACCTGTGCCGTCTGCAAAATCAGAACGAGCCTTCCGATACGCTTGCGTAATTCGAGCATCATTCAATGTGTCTGAAAGGAATAACGACTCTTTATCAAACTCATAATCTCATAAGTACTTGACAATATTGAAGGTAAATACCTCATGCAAATAAATTCAATGTGAAATGAGCCATGTGTAATAATTTGCGCGAATTGAATTTTCGATTAGTGAGTGAGTTTTTACTTTTACTTATCGTCTCATTGGTCTGTCTTCTTTACCTCTACATGATCATCGAACCAGACATCTTCAAGAACGAGTCACTGTCAGTTAAAAATATCGTGTAATATTCTGTCTGTATTTATTTGTTCATCCTTTATTCGATGTTTGCTTGCTGGCGATGAAAGTTTTCATTATTTGTGAATCCAATATAGCCATACTGATCCAATTATGATGACCTCATTCTCTTGCAGACATGCAGTTCTGAAGTTTCTTGTTGTAGAAATGTGACTATCTTCAGTCAAAGATGAATCTCATGGAGATAATGATGAATGCCTTTTTAACTTCAAAATATTTTAAAAAAGGTGAAATTGTTTCTCACCATTTGTGAATATTCCCCTCCGCACACTTCGCAAATAAGCTAAGTAATAATAATACAATCATATGATATGATTATGAGAGATAAATTGTCCTAGAAACGTCATTCAGTTTTTGAATACTGTGACAATATTTGTTATATTCACAAAACTAATCTAATATCCAATTATATCCTACCACAGTGTGAACTTTTCCGCTTCTACAGTCAATGGCATCTTCGTTATAACTATTATGCCAATATTTTGAGAAGATAGACGCTTTATCTACTCTTCTGTCTGCTTTCCAAAGTAAAGCAGGGTTGAAGTCGACCTTGGCTTCACGTCATTTGTACAGTTGAGTGGAAATTACTGGTTAGTTGTGGTAAATAATGTTCGTCAGGTGTCTGTCTGTTGACGATTAATTAAACACATCTACTTTTCAGATATAATCATCAACAAGTTCAAACAATGGTTGATCATATTAGTCCTGTTCATGTCTTGATTACACCTTAAAGTCTGCTAATCAAATTGATAAATATATTCACTCACTTGAAGTACTTGTGTATGCATTAGATGTGATGAGAGCTGCCGTTTCCAGCGCTTTAAGTTTAGCTAAGAAAACAAGAAGTGTTGTGTGATATTTAAAACGTTATTCAAGAAACTTCAATATCATACTCGTCATTATACTGAATAGAATACACTGACAATCCGAAAATGTGTCCTAATAATTTGATTATATCTCAACACGTTTCTTCTCACAACACACTGAATATTTTAATTTTCAAAAGTTTACTCCACTCCTCACGAAAGGTGTGCCGACTCATTGGTTGATAAAACTGGTCTTCATAATATTTCTGAGATGTAATTGTACTGGTGATGAAAAGTATATCTAATAAAAACTAGTTAATGGATCTGTTATTGATGAGTACATAAGGCACTTAATGACTAACTTTAAAGAAAATGACTAGTGAATTTTCATACCAACAGTTTATTATTCATGAACGTAGTGTGCAATATGAATTTACAGAATCTTTTTACCTTTTGATGTTTTCACTGCTTCCTTTGCTTCCATAACATCCTTCCTTATCATTTCAATTTGCACTATAATTTCACAATATCAAAAAGTATGAAATGTTTTATGTGTACGCTGTAACGTGAAATAATCCTATTAACGCGAAGGCTACTGACTGTCGCAATACATGGCTATCCCGTTGGTAATGTGCAGCTTACCACATGACATTTCGAGTAGTTTACTGATATCAGTAAAACAAATACTTTCACTAGGTGTGAACTGCATTTATACTGCATTTGTGCCCATCTTCAAAGTTCGCTTGACGTTTTCCTTGTCAATTATAGAACAATAATTGTTTGCATAGAATAATTTGTCAAATCATTGAATGAGTAATCAGGTCAGTGGTTTCGCAAGTTACAAGTTATATTTATAAGGACATACTAAAATTTGAGGAGTTTTTGCGTGTTAAAGGCTGATGTGACGTCTGATACTGATTAGATTTGTCAGTGGAATTTAAAGAGACGCTCTTCGACATAAAAACATCGAATAGCAGGGAGGTGGATTATACGTCAAAGAAAGCAAATGATTCGGCGTTTTGGTAAAATATGACAGACATGATACGAATATGAAGAAATATAATATAAAAAAGGGAAATAGCACAACATGGAAGCTCTGTGCAGATGGTAGTTTGAAGATAAGGTGTACATAATTTAGCAATTTGGAGATACAAAATCCCGAATAAGCATTGCTTCACCAAGTCTCTTTTCTTCTGTCGTTACACTGGCAGTTCACGCAGTGAACATATTTCTGTCCATTATTTCTGGGTTAACCATAGTATGTGAGGCATAGATGTTGACACGGACACACGCATTCCACACAAAAGAATAATAAAACCATGAAATACACTTTGTACTTGTTGGTGATCAAATGTGGAAAACAGTGTTCATTGTCATAATTTCCATCACGTATTACTCAACAAGATGATCCTTCTGTGAAAAGAGTTCCAATTGAAATCCACTTGTGTCATTACTCAGTATGCTGATACCCAGTGAATTCGGGCAGATATCGTGTTCGGATGCATAGAAATAGCTTTTCCACAAATTCAAACAACTCGAGAATTGAGTCGAACAATCAACTAGCTGCTGCATCTGTTTGTCACAAAGGATATTCAGATATGGTTTATTACAAATAAATTTCACCGCATTTCAGTGGAATTGTGAATATGCGTATTAATGACTTCAGAGAAACTACTACTCACAAAATCAGAAGAGATATTTCAGCCTAGTTTACAAGTAACGAAGGATGAATTTCAAAGTGTAAAAAACTAACCTTTGTGTTTGTTCAGATTGCCTGATGTCTGTGCAAAAAGTTTGCCTGTAATTGATATATAACAGTGTCACTCAACTTCCGGGTATACGATGAATCCAACATTATCATAATCAATTTACTTAAAGATGGGTTCAGCTGACTTCAATTCAAATGACGGCACAGTTAACTTGCTCATTAAGTATAAAGCTTTATTAGAAAGTGGTATCGGACCATCGAGTAAGCGTATTCTCACTCACATACCGTTGGAAAGGATTCGGTTTTCGAGTGATTCTAATGAAATAATATGAGGAAGTGAATACATGTATGGTATTTGCCTACTATCGCTTATTCTCTGAACTACTCTCCGCTATTTGTATGGTACGTTTACGCACAGATATTCTCATCATTCTCTATCAAGTGTGAATGTCAGTGCTGAATAGAAAATCGCGACATTCAAGAAGTCTCACAATACACATTATCGTGGACATGACTCAGTGAGGGGAACCGATGAAATGTGCAGAACACTTCTACAGAATATCGTGTTCACCTACAATGCCAACAATTCATGCGAGATTTAATTAAAGACTGTCATTAAGTGATGTATCAAATTTTGTTCTCGCTAAGTCAGTAACACACTGGTGGGTGTGATTTTTAAGAGGACATATCGCCATTCCAATGTGTTGTGGTAAATCTTGTGTGGAAAGGAGAAGTTTTTGTGGCTCTACGCGCTTCACCTAATTACAAAATATCATCATTCGCTTTCTTACAAAATATCAAATAACCTACTGCCTTTCTAAATAGTGGAATCTTAAAAATTTTACCTTCTGCAATGTCGAGAGTTTTTCGATTTTCCCATTTCTTTGAAATATGCGTTTTTGTCTGATTGTAGAATCCTTTATTAGCTGAAGGAATAAATGAAAAATCACTAGGTATAATTATTACTCATAAGCTCTGTAAGATCTGGACTACATGATTTTTTCAGCTGTGAAATGTTCCTCCTGCATGATGACAGTGGTAATCTATCTAGATGCATTAGTATGACTCTGTTTTAGGCCTCCAACAGATTTCAACGTAATATCATGTATCAACTACTGATTTCACCTAAGCCATGTATAACAATTGTGAATGTGACCAGTTTTCTGTGTAAGAGTAGGAAGCAATATGACTACACATATACAATCTATGAAAATAATCATCAGTTGAAACGATAATGCCATCAATCAACAGACAAATAAGCTGGAGATCTGAATATCACTAGAACAATGGATCTTAGTAACAAATCACTATAAGGAACAAATAAGAGAGCGGTTTACTTTAGTAAGAGATATCTTGACGGCGATCAGATTTATCCTCAGGTAATTTCGCTCAAAAATGTTTTGATAGAGAAGTGCGATTGACGTGAATGAAAAGGAAGTATGATTGAAGATTGAAATAATGACTTGACACAAAACACCAGTGCAAAATCTTGTGCACATTCTTCACAGAACTGGTCGCCTAATTTCAGCGAACCGATGAATTTTAGATTAAGTAGTATTACAACTTTTAGTTAAAAAACCAATCATACCAAGAACTGCGTAATTGAAAGAGGCATCTTCTTCCAATGCCTTCCTGTATTCATCTATAGAGAAAGGAAGCGTTGTTTGGTGCATATTTAATTACTCAAATAGCCAACTGTGTATTTGTACACTTTGATAGTAGGAAAGTGTGAATTAAGTTCATTTATAAACAGATGACGTTACGTACATTATTAAATTTTCGTATCAATCGGACAATCAATTTCAAATAGAATAGTTAGGCACATCTCTCTCAGCAGATATCATGGATGGATGTTGTATGTGGGATCGGTTTGGATTGATGGGAGACAAATCATGAGCGAATCTCACTGTACAACTGCAAATCGCCATCAATCATAGGGTAGAATGGCTGTCAGCTGTTTAACGCATTCCCACGGAATATGATAAGACTTTCGACAGAGTTGCCTATAAGGTAATTTGTTTGCCTTACTCTGATGCATCTCATTTAACAGGTATGTGATTACGCTATATGCGAAATACCTCACAATGGAAAGTTCAGTTAATCGCTTGAAGTTAAGACAAGGCCGTCACCAATGGTATACCTATGTTATTGTTCTGGACTGAAACATTCGAAAACATCTTTGAAAATGTGCATCTCATAGTTTCATCCAGGAAGACAGAGAACGAATAACAGTAATAATTTCATAATGTAATTGAATAACTGTGGTTTTATTCAACCATTCGATATTTGATTAAAATAAAGTATAAATAAGTTATCAAAGTTCCCAAGTTGAATTAATGAACTTGAGAAATATACGGTTTATAAATTATATTCGGAATGTTATCAATGATGCGTGCTGTTTCATTGTATCATGTATGTAGTGAACAAGCCAATGTTGAAGAGGACATTGTAGAGAAAGTGGATGATGGGGGAAATTGTTTCACTACTGAATACCACGTCACTCGTGATTGAATTGATGAGAAATTTGGCAATGCTTCATTAAATGGACCAGATTGCATTCGTATAGATGAGCGATAACGTCTTCACTTGTTAGGCTTGTCAAAAAAATCAATACAAACACCTCTGGTGACATCTATCATACCAAATGATTTCAAGCTGACGTTCATTCCACAAACAGTAACATGGTGTTTTTGTCTTCAGAAACCAAATGGTTTTGTCACATGCATTTTGTTTTTATTATTTTAAGATGAAATAACCCACCAATAGAAAAATTCACCAGCTTCTTATCTTCTGCACCGATTGCTGTAAAAGTGTAGACAATTTTTGGGAAATTATATACTTGCACTTGGAGGCATGGTAATAAGAGGACAGTTAGAAAACCTGAAATGTATGCTGAGGGTTTTTCAGACATGAAAAGTACAATAAAGCAAAGCGAAACACAGAAGCTGTTTGTTTTTATGCTAAGTACATGGCAACTTGTTTGAGGCGTTATATAACTTATCCGTCAGACTATACTTTCTCTGCTTTGAAAAGAATATTGAAAGGTGAATCAACGGTATTCATTTTGCAAATGAATCAATGTAGCCACCATTTATGTTATAATTCAGTATTTAATGCTATGCGTTTAGAAAAGATGTGTACTGGAATAATTTGCAAAATGTGCACATGAAATTCATTCCTCAACTCGAAGTTTCTGCATAAAATGTTGCAGACTGTTTGTTGAAAGAATTTTCTGTGCTACTGACACCTGGAAACCACTCTCCGAAATACACTTTTTGGTAATTTATTTGTCTAATAATTGAATTCTTTGATCATTTCCAATGACACTGCAATTCATTTCAATTAGCAATCCAACATATTTAAATTCACTGAAAATTCACGCCTTTATTAAACACACGGATCATTTCAGGAATGTCAAACAATCGAATGCGTGAATGACAGGACTTACATTCGAGAAATTCCTTCGCCCATTTACTTTGATATAAGTGCTCAAGTCTCAGGATTTCTGTTTAAAGTGGAAAAAATACAAAAGTACGGCGTGCCGTAATGTTGGTTGACACAGGGTATTTTAATGAGAATTTTGACTTTTAGAAAACAGAAAGATTTGGCGAAGACATATTCAGTTTTCAGTTAGATCATCATCTCATTACCATTTGATTGGTAAATTGTTATGTATTTTAATAAAAATGCTATGTATATGTTAGTGTAGAGCCACAGATGAGGATCTATTTGAAAAGTAAATATTTCTTCGCTCATTCTTTCTGTTTTCCAAATGTCTAAATGACAATTTTGACTAGCGAAATGATGCTGAACATGTATTTCTTATTCTCCATTTAACGTTCATGTCTGTAAATCTGCACTTTCTTATGCTCAAGTTAACAAAGCGCTTCCTAGTTGTTCCTTGCTCTTGCATGTTGAAGTTTGTTGTGTTATGCACTGTGAGTAACCCAGAACAGTCGACAACACACTTACGTCTATCTTATTTGTTAATGTTTCATCTTGGAGTATTCAGCTTGAAATCACAAGTAGGGGAAATTCCATGCCCATGATCTGTCCTTTGAAACCATTGAATGATGAAAGTCTTGCATGTTTGAGCATCCGTTAATTGATGATGGCAGAATAATAACCTGACAAATGACTGCAATTTTCAGGGAATATGCCATGCATGGATAGGCTGGCTACTGTTAAAGTTACCAAAGAAGTAGGCGCTAGAATGTATGAGGTTCGGTAGAATGAACCAAGAGTTTTGTGAATCAAAAGATATCCACCCGACCATTCATAAACTCAAATGTCGTTCTTAACATGCATCTGATACTTTGTTTATTCGTTTTCCAGTTATTCGCTTCAATTTTTGTGTTCAACATAAGACAAGGAACTTTGTTTTGGCGGCATTTTGGCAATCATGTCCCACTATGCATTATCTCTTAACATTGTCTGAGTACAAGGATTTCGAAGAAAGCAAGAAAAAAAGTTTTTGCAGAATAAAATGGCACCATCATTTATTTCGTTAGCTTGTGATCAGATGCATACAGCCTTTATTAAAATTAATTATAGGGAATAAATGTACAATGATTTCCCTCCGCAGATTCTGGTAACACTTCAATGTCCCACATTCCTCCAGCTGAGACAGTTTAAATTGTTTACTCGTTCTGACACTCGATTAAAAGTAGGTTTCATCCACTCACTGACACTCAACACATACAATTAAAACAAACCGGATTCCAGTGCCGTGCTTCTACCAGCCACCTAGACCAAGAGGGGAAGGAAGAATTCCACAGACAACTGCGAGCCGTAGTGCGCACTAAGCCAAATAGCAACATCAGAATGCGGAAATGGAAGCAAACAAGAATGAAAGGCGATCCTTCATAGATCAAGAGGTTGAGGGTGGAAAAAATGAGGACGGTGGACCCTTCGCATACTTCTCTGCCTTCACTCAGTCGTTTACTGCAAGTAGCAATACAAAGTCCACGAAATGACATATGTTTCATCACTTGGACACACCAAATATCAGATGATCCTTATCTCAATCTCAGGAATGTGATGATTAGGCATTCTGGACATAAAATCGATAAGAGAATCAGACGTGATAGATTAGTAAATGAAGCGGAATATGTCGCAGGAAGAGAGACCTCAGATTACTGCATCAGTGTCACATGTAGGTATCCTCTAAGAAACGAATACTAAAGAGGGTAGATAGGAAAGGCGAGAAACGACGAAAACTCTCAAAACAGGTCACGACCTACAAACTGTCCGGAAATACCATCAACAGCAAGCACAGTAATCGCAGTGAATACCAATTCTCCAACAAAAGCAAACGTTACGAAGATATTAGATGGTTGGAAGCAATCGTCAGGAAGCCTTCCATCTAGGTTTCGTGCTTGTTGCAACTCACCAGTCGGCAAGGCCTTTCTGCAACCAGCTTGAAGGATCTCATATCCCTTCTAAGATTCAAACCCGCGTCACCCAGTCCTGCTGAACTAGTAACCAGTGTCCAATCAAAGTATCCACTGCAGCCCTACATGATGTCAATCGTGAGCCTGAACAGCTCAGTGGTAACGTCTCTGACTGCAGCACTGAGGGAAGCGGGTTTGAATCTCAGAAGGGATATGAGTTCCGTCAAGCTGATTGGAGATACGCCTTGCTGACTGGTGAGTGCCAACATGCACAAAACCTAGGTCCAAGCTTTCCTGACGATTGCCTCCAACCATCTAATATCATCAAATCAATGTGCATTGTGATGGCGAGATACCTAGAATGGTGGCCACATTATAAACGTGACTGACAGAATTCACTCTACTACACACATCATACTAGTTATTAGTGTCCATTCAAAGTATCAAACGTTTTGAATACCATAATGTTAGTAAAAGTCGGGAAGGTGACATAACCAGATGGAAATCCATCGAAAACAACTAATTGGATATACTCACGCCTCGAGTGTATTACATTTCAGGCTGGTTGAAAGGATAGGCTACCTTGTCAAACCATCAGAGAAAGATGACTTATTCCTCTGCAAGAATTGAAAGGGGAATAATGCTCCCGCCCGGTTCAAGTAAAATACTGGCTGGTGTCATCCTGGAGAGACTTAATGATGCTATGAATGCGAAAATCGCCAAATAACAAGCTGGATTCAAGAAAAGCAATTCATGTATGGATCAAATCACAACGCTTTACCTCATCATCGAAGAGGGCACAGGATTGTAATGAAATATCTATTTCTGAAAAGTCCTACGACAGCATTGGAAACGATAGAGTGTGATGCTCCGAACAGCTACGTGAAGATGTCAAATGCCAAGAGATCCTCAGCGGAAATCTCAATGAGGCTGATCGCAAATGGTACTCCTGGTCTTAGGCGACAGTGTCGTGTGAGAGACCGTGAGCAGCAAGAAGACGATCATACGTTGGTGCAACAAGCAGACTCAGGAATCTCTGTACTTCGTCGATCACTTATTTATAATATCACACGAATTCGAAGATCTGCAGGTGACGATGAACACTTTCGCAGAAGAATCAGCCAGCGAAGACAAGTCTTCAGGTGAGCATAGAGAAAATAGAAGCGTTGAACACAAATAACCTACCAACCAACAAACAGCAACGGCAGAAATATGAGGGGAGTCATTTCTTATACATATCCAGGCAGCACCATTTCAACTACACGTGGTGGCAGAAGTGACGACATTGCAGTTAGATGAGGTCAGAAAAGCAAGAGTACAAGCAATGCACTGCAGAGAGGAGGATAGTGTGGAGATGTGCAGTTGAGGTCTTATTTTCCACTTGGAACTCTGGAGAGTAATAATAATATTCTGAAAAAGAAACTGAGAACGGCTAGGAGAGCAGTAGACAACAATAAGTCTCTGAACTCATTTCCAGACAAAACCGCTTCCACCAGTATCCCATTTATAAAGAGAATCTTCAACTGCACCCACAAGTGAGTTCATGGGTTTCAGTAACCTGCTTTGAATCACCAGACAGCGATGGCAGTTCGCGCAATATTATGGATAGGAAGGTGGGTGATACAAAAGGTTTCCTGCCACACCCTAGACAGACGTTATTTCAAACATTAGAATCAGTCAGCGTTGTTCTGTTACCATAGATGTTATCACGAATAGACCAAGAGGTACATTTCATCTTCATCACATGATAACAAACGAACGAGATACTCAGTCATCCTCAAAAGCATCACAAGTGTGCATCTTTGATTCATTGGAATGCATGAAATATGAAATAAACTATTGATCGGAAAAAAACTTGACCATATATTCATGCCTGACTTTTATTCGAAAAAGACATAAAAGGCTAGTAAAAAATGTCTTTTCCACGATTCTGTTCATAAGCTGTAATTATATTTAACAAGGAAATCATAAGACCGACCAGAAACTGGTACAATTTGTCCTCGAATAGTGGTAATACGTAATGCAATGTGTAAACTAGAAGAAGACAAATTTTATCAGTATCCCATTGGTCTTATGATTCCTTTGTTAAATATAATTACCATCGTACAGCTTATGAAAATGAATCGTTGAAGAGAAAATTTTCTTCGTTCTTTATGTCTATTTCTTATGACTCAAAATGAGAATAATTCGTTCATTGTTGTTTAAACGAAGCCATGTAGAGATCTTGATAAAATTACTCACCAGGTTTTATTGTTCCTTCGACATTCTGGGGATCTTTATATGTCTGAATTTCAATCATGAGAACTAAAACAGACAAACGGGTGGAAATAAGTCCTAAGTATGTGGATTGTTTAATGCTTGAATAAAAGTTCTGACAGAATAAATGTCAACATGTAGGCAACATGCAGTCTGCCTTTGTGTAACTAATTGTTCATGTAGTGTGCCTGTCCTGCGTGCATTATCGACACACTTCCAGATAAATGTAAATAATTCTCGCACAATCCGCTGGTAACCATTACCAAGCGATTAGGCCTTTTGCACTCATCAAAGTTACTCTGCAACTGCTATTCAACTCATCTCAGTCTCTTATATTCACATGCATATAAAATTGTGTCCTGGAAATTTTCAAGTTTCTTGAAATTGATGAAGCGATATCACTCACGTTTAAGCAACAGTTTCCTGTTCTACTTTACAAGAATGATTTCCATGTTATTACATTTAGGTGACATTACATACATCTGTCGACATGACAAATATATCTCCCCGAATTTACAAGGAGATGTGTAGCTGTAGAAGATATTTCTAAAAGCTACACAGTGTTTCCAGTAATTGAATTGGTTGATTGTCCGTCTACAAATCAAGGCAAGCGATATAAGTAGCAAGAGAATGTGGTCACTGATCGTTATAGAACAGTCTAAAGTAAAGAGACAAACATGTAATGATTTCCGGTGAAATAATCACATACATTTATCATGCGCAGCTTCACGGTATGAATCTGCGTATGCGTCCAGTGTTGAATTCAGATCATCTGAAATAGAGTAAAATATTTCCCTCGAGTTGTTTAACCCTTCATTTACCAAGTCAAACACACACAAACACAAATTAAATTATCTTGTATATAAGAAATCAGATAAATAGAGGATTCAGCTATTTCTGAAATCCACAAACACACAATAAAAATTACACTAATCAAAAGTTACGCTCATCTATTGATGCATTCTACTACTTAGAAATAAATTTGCTCTTGCTTATCCAATTTTGTCAGAAGATACCTACACCTCTGAGGATAAGTTTTGTGGTATTGATTTTCTGTAGTGGAATGATGTTGTCCTGAGTAAATGATAATCAGTATGCTGCAATGTTAACAATGTATGCTATAGTTCGACGGAAATTGAAGCTTCACATGTACTATAGACAATCATTTGAATACATCGAAATGTCTTTACAACGAGTCCATTGTAAACTGAGGCCTGTTACCGCTAGAAGTAGAAGATGGGGTATACGTAGCAAGATGTTGTGACAGGACACTGTGAACGAAAACTAAACAACAGGTAGATCAAAATCATGCTGGAAAACGGACAGTGGATTGGGAATGAAGCTAACCTTCTACTACACCATTAAGGATCGAACATACTTTTTGTAAAACGCAAAAGAGATATTCTACAAAACCGTCTCCAGTAGCTATTAATAGTCTGTCAGTAAAAAGCCTATTGCATGGCAAAGAAGATAACTGTAAAAAAATGTACCGAACTCTCACAGTAAGTAATTAACTTGTTTTCGCCATCTGAAAACAAAATGGAAGACAACGGCTCAAAAGAGATTCAAGTAAATGCTGTTAAGAAAAAGCTCACCAATCAAAAAATATCTAAAAATTGCACTGAATGGTAAAACAAGTTAGTATAAAAAGATCGCTAGTTTTCTAGCTGGTCCCAGGCCCGGCTTAAGAGGGAGAATTCGGCGTGGGGCTAGCAACCGACACTACTGAATATTTCAAACCGCTAGAGAAACTTCAACACAGGGAAAATATATTAAGAAATACAAAAACTTCAAGAAAAAATCTTATTCTTCGCTCGAATCGCAGAGGCCAAATGACGCGAGAAGTCAGTCAGCCAGCCGATGTGTCTTCTGTCGCTAAAAGCAAGAGTAACAATAGTTACGTGGAATGTTAGTACAATGTACGAGACTAGGAAGGCTGCCTAGGTCGCCTAATAGATGCCAAGATATGTCTTAGAAGAACTGGGTATCTGGGAAAGCAGATGGAATGGATGTGGATTGACAACATTGTCAACCGAAAGGTCAGTTACCTACTCCGATCTGATCACCCACACGACAACCAAGAACACAATGGGATGATTGGTGGCTATAATGATGTCGCCAGTGGCAGCCAAAGCCTTAGTGTAGTGCAAACCAATATCATCGAGGATCATGCCAGCAATATTCGATTCCAAAGAAAGGAAGGTAGCAATTATCTAATGCTAAGCACAGTGCTACAAACAATGCGGAAACAGAGAAGAAAGAAGACTTTTACATACAACTCCTCTTAGTAATGAACAGCATCCCAAATAGTGACATCATTATCCTTAATGGCGATTTGAATGCCAGTCGAACTTGGAGCAAATAATACGGGGAGAGAACTCATCATGAGTTGATAGGCTGTCGGAGATATGAATGAGGACGGAGAACCATTCGCTGACGTCTGCACTTTCACTGATTTCGTGATCAGAGGAAGTGTGTACAAGCGCAAGGACATACGCAAAGTAGCATGGATTACGCCTGTTGTGCACAAAACAAACCCGAAAGACTTCATCTCAATTCTGCTCGTGGAAGTGGAAACGCAGCCACCATGCTGGACACAAATTCGAGATGGGGAGCACATATGGGTTCATACCATCATCTGGTTCAAGGAACCTTAAAGGTGAAGCTGAAATCCTTCAGAAAAACTGGAGACTAGCCACTGTAATTCAAGTTCAATATTCGGAAAGTGAATGACAAAACTACAAGGGATGACTTCACTACAGATCAGATCACAGCAAAGTCGGAGACACTACATGGCATCACTGAGGAAACATGTGTGGAAGAACATTGGAACTCTCTGAAAGCGATATTTAAAGAAACGTGTTCAACTGTCATAGGAAGAAGGAAGAGACAAGAGAAAAATGGCTGTAACGGATACCTGGAAGCTTATCGGGGAGAGGATGATGAAGAAAGAGATGACTCAATGCAAAGATGGACACGAGAAGAAGAAACTGAGCGCAGTGTACATTGCACTGAATAAAGAAGTAAAGAAGAGCGCCAGAAAAGACAAACAACTATTCTACGACACACTAGAGGAACAAGCCGCAGGCAAAAGAGACATCAGGACATTACATCAGATAATCAAATCGCTATCCAGGAGGAGATCGACCAAGATGATGAAATTAATAAAAGATGCTTAAGAGAACCTGGTCATCAAGGAGGAGAAACAAATCAAACAATGGGCTGACCACTTTAAATGGGCCAACTCCTGAATCGACCACCACCTGTAACTCGCCCAGAAATGCAACCAACAGCCCACATGGAAATGCCAATGGACACCACTACTTCAAGGAAAGAAGAAATCCTGAATTCGATCAAGCTGCTGAAGTTCAGGAAGGCAGCAGGACCATACGACATTCTTTCCGAAGCATTGAAGAAGGCCTCAGAGACTACAGTAGATGTCCTCACTCCATTACTGCAAAAAGTTTAGAAAGAAGGAAAGGTGCCTACTGATTGGAAGAAGGGCTACCTCGTCAAACTGCCAAAGAAGGGCGACTAACGTCTCACTCTGCAAGAACTGATGTGGAATAATGCTCTTGTCTACACCAAGTAAAATACTAATTCACATCATCCTGGAGAGAATAAAGGGTGTACTGAATACAGAACTCCGCCCACCGCCCAGAACAGGCTGGATTCAGGAAAGGTAAATCATGTGCTGATTGAATTGGAACTCTACACATCGTCATCGAACATCAACTTCATCAACTTCGAAAAGGCCTTCAACAGCGTTGACCGAGAAGTAATTTGGAAATTACTTCAGCACTACGGCGTACCTCAATTGTTTGTCAACCTCATTCAACGGCTGGCTATATGACAATGCCACGTGTCTGGTGATGTATAACGAAAACTCAGCGAGGTGTTCGAAGTGCAGCCAGGAGTAGGACAAGCTGGATTCTTGTTATCACCAATGGTATTCTTAATTGTGGTGGGCTGGATTATGCGTCAGACTGTGCATGGGAGTGAAAGAGTAGACAGAAATATGTTGGAACACCGTTAAGAAGACTTTGGAAAATCAGGATTTCGCAGATGATATATGTCTCATGTAACATGAATTCGCAGACTAACAGGTGAAAACCAACAAACTGTCAGGCACCGGAAACAGGACTGCAGGTAAACACAGAGAAGATGGAGGTGATGAAGATAACCAGATAACAGCAACACCAACCAGCACCAATCATCATCAATAGGATAGTTGTAACAGAGCCTGCCTCCTTCACTCAACTGGGAAGCATCGTTTCAACTACAGTTAGAATTGGAAAGACAAGATACGCCTCCATCAACCTGAATCAAGTTTGGAAATATTCTGTAGTCAGCATAAGGAACAAGACTCGCATTTTAAAAACCAGTGTGAAGTCAGTCCTCCTAAAGGGGTCAAAAACCTGGCCGGAGTGTCACGAAAAATACTTCCAACAGGTTGAATACTTTCATCAATAGCTGCATTCACTTCATACTGACGATCAAATTATTGGTCAGAAAGAATAAGCAACAAGAAACTACAGGAACTAACCAACCAAGATCCGATTGAGCAACAAATATGTAAGAGAAATTGGAGAGTGATAGGGCATACATTCACGACGCCGTCAAGTGACATCGCGTGTCAGGCCAGTGCTCGAGTGGAATCCAAATAGCAAGCGATGAGTGGGTCTTCCTTGGGTGACATGGATGAGATCGTGTGGAGAAGAGATGAGAGAGTTTGTTCAATCGTGAACAGAAGTGGAGACGTGTTGTTGAAGCCCTATGTTCCACTCGGATAGCAAGATAATAATAAATAAATAAATAATAAAAAAGTAAAATGCACATGGATGAGAGTAGATAATGGCCATCAAATTTGGTGGCTCGAATGAATCACTGGCCTGCATGAAATTCCACCCAACACAATGAATTTGTCTAATTCTTATTATCTCAACCAATCACTTATGTCCTGGATTCGCAAAACGCTCTTACGCATATTTTTTGTTGACTTTCTCTACTACCGGTGGGCTGTTCGCGGAAACGAAGGAAAATATAACTTCAGGAATTATTCTATGCATTAGTTGTAACGGCAATGAGTGAAGTTCCATGGAGTGTTACAAGCATATACTTCAAGCAACAGAAACCTACGCTCAGTCTCAACATATTACGCATCTCCATGCGTACAATCATTGCATGAAACATTGGAGAAAATCTTCTACACAGAATTCAAAACAAATAAGATAAAAGTAAGTTTTGAATCCTTTCTTCTCAATGAGAAATAAGCCTGCATATTATACAACGAGATAAATCTATCTAACGATGATAACTAACCACATAGAATTCTAAATAAAAATGACCCAGATCATGCGGGGTATGACAGTGGGCGAATGAGTACGTCTCAGTAAATGAAGTTATGTGAGAGCCAGTACCAGCAATGGAATTTACCGCGACAGCGGGTGATTATTCTGAAGCAACACTGAAATCGCTCACTCACAGAAAACACAAAGAATTTCACTGCATAAGGAGGAAATGAAAAAATTTCCTAAATCACCGACATCAGATATTATCAATGAGTGATTCAGAGTGTCTCTGAGTTAGTGAGAAATAGGTGTAGTGTAAAAGAAATCTCATAAAGGCTGTGAAGAATGCACTTAACCTGCAAAACATCAGAGATAATCTTCGATATTGTCAACATAGAGAACGCCAAAAATCAAATCACAGAGGTGGTTGATAAAAACAGAGTGGCGAAGAAGGTATTTCAACAAATAAAAACCGATTCAT